ATTACATGTAATGAGTGCACCTAGGATACGGCTTGGTTTCTCTGGGACTTACTGAAGGCTTAGCGGTGGGCGTTCAGTTGAATGTATCATTTTCAATAAAATATGTTGGCCGTTGTTTAAGTGAACAATCAATAGCGTAACAGCTATTAGGGTTGCTTCATACATCAACTTTGAAACACCGGAAATAAAATGCGAAACATGAACTTTTTTATGAACAACAATGCGAATTCTATACCAGAGTTAGCAAATTCTATCGGCAAATTCTATCGGTGAGTCATCTGAAATTCCAAGTGATACTGAGGGCAGGCAATCTCTTTTTCGCGAGCTTGTTTAATGGCAAACACGAACAAAGTGGTGACAAGTTATTAGACACACATTTGACACTCATATGGTTTTTGGAAAATGAACATATTCAAGCATACACCCGCACCCTCTTGGGCGTTCATTGATTATTATACAACGGTGAACGAATGCCGCGAAGAGTTTCATAATTTTAGCAGTGACGTTCGAGTTCAATCGAATGCTCGAGTGAAGCCTGAACATGAGATATAAGACTACTTGTGGTTTTCATCAGTAATATATACCCTTACACTAGTAGTGTATTTTCTAGGCATTCTAGTTTGTTCTGTGAACCTTCTCGTGGTTTCGTTCTCATGTGAATTAGGTCCTTATATGTGGGGCAATCGAAAATTCAGGAGTTGTATCTTGAATTATTTCTTTAATAAACCGCAAAGTAGGTTAATTAGGAACACAAGTCAGAAGATTCATAGCCCCATGTGCTTATTTAATGTTCATAGAAAACCCTAAATACGCCACAAAATCTCGAGTGGCATTCTCTCCTTAATGGGGTATGAACGCGGGTATATAATTGAAAGCTACTTCTGGAATGTAAGTAGTGAAACGATTAAACGAAATGCCAACTGACTACTGCACACTTTTGGTCTGAGCGTCTACAGGACAGTCCATTTGTGTATTCCGATTCCTAAAAATACTGTGCAGCAAAGGCTACAACGGTTATGTTTGAAGGTTTCTGGCGATCATCATCATGTCCTACGTGGCAGGAGATAGCACCGGCATTATTTAATGAGGCAAAGTTAAATTTATCGCGGTGGGCAAATCTTCGTGGTTGATTTTGCACAAATCTTGATTTATTCGGGAGACTACGTGCACAACTTGGAAGCCATTATCTATTAATTCAAAAGCTTAGAGCTACGCACCCGCACAGCTTAAAGTCTGGAAATTTGATCCCACGGACTAACCAGACTGGACGGTGTTTGAGCTGCGTGTCACAAGAGTGAACTCTCGTGGAACCACTGCCCGGTATTTCAAACGAGTGTGAACAAAGATAATGTCAACTTATCCCTTAGTTGCAAACTCATTAAGGGTTGGGATCCAAACACTATCAGTAATTTTGACGCGTTGTAGGCCAAATCAACGCCCATGCGGTTCCTCCAAAAAATGATTGTAGCTACCGTACTGCAGTGGAAGTGCTAAAGCGAATACGTGCGCCTTGAAGTGAGAATACAGACTATCAATTGTAATATATTTATCAATGTGTTCTAACTTAGTTTGCGCCGAATGGATTTCAGAGGAATTATCGGCAGCCGGCATATGTTTATTTTCAGCACTCCGCATTACAAATAAATTATGTCAATCAGTTGATTCATCCTTTTTTTGCACGTGGAATTCAGCAAACAAAATCGGTTGACGTTATCAGTAGTAAATGGCGAAGAAAATATTTTATCTAGCAAGACATTGACTTTCCTTCTTGCGAGGCGTGCATTGACGATCCGTCAATTTTCATTTGTTATCCACCCACTGCTCCGACGACTAGCGAGCGATTTGCATTCAGCTTCGTTCTCTCTCCGTCTCAGCGAACCCCCAACTCTTGTATCAGTCAAGCGCAACTCCCTCTTCCAATCTCTCCCGACAACAGCCTGTATCGTAGCCTGTGTCATTGTACTAATCGCTACCCAGCCGGTAAAAGAGAAGTAACCTAGATTTTTATTATATACAGGTCTTCGGGTATGAGGTCATTGATTCCTTCAATCGCCAAGCCTGCCACATTTGTAGCATCCGCTTGTTCATGCGCTCCTTCGCGGTTCCGTCTTTATGGCTTCAAGTTGTTCCACTCTGGTCTGCAGTTCGTACACTAGTGAACCGTCTATGTTCTCCTGCTACTGCAACGTGGCCAGTGGCGCCTCGGCCAATTCCCGTGTTAGATGCACAAGCTCCTCCACACCCAACCGATCAGATGCTCTCTCCAACCTCAACTGCGCACGAAGCGTAGGCTACATAACTTCATCGATTCGGTCTAACAACAACTGGTGGCGCAACACTCCGTCCAGTCTCGACGAAAGCCGATCCAACGACTACTAAAGGCTGACGAAGAACACGGCGGGGTCGTATCTGGGTCCTATCTTGGCTTCCCTGAACCGCCTCATGGCCTTCTGACAGTCAGTCGCGGCTGGTCAGTCCACCTTCAGAGGGCCCCCTTCTGACCGCATCCAGGATCACCTTTGCCCAAGATTCCGTGTACTTGTACTATGCTAGGGCACCGGACTCGTCTGATGTACTGAATGGTCCTGAAAGATGCGGCGTTCGTTGCCGGATATCAATAAAAGACCGAAGACATGACTGTAACATGGTTCTTAGGTTGTTTTCAAGCAAACCTAGTGTGATAGAGTTGGCTTTCCAGCCGTGAGAGTTTCCTCCAATCCCTCATTTCATTCCAACCCTCCTTCATTCTTCCGAATATTTCAAACCTACAGGCTAAATAAACCAATATAATGTATCAAATTCATCGCCTGTTTCTTTGTGGTCCGTGTCCCTACTTCTTGCTTATGTTGATTTTTTGTGATTTGTTTTCCCTCCTGGACTTTCAAACATGCCACAGTTTGTAGCCACTTACTACTCACAAATGGTATTTGATGTTAAAATGCCCAGGAGGCTAAACTGTTTGAAGCCAATACTCTCCGGCTAAGNTAACCAGACTGGACGGTGTTTGAGCTGCGTGTCACAAGAGTGAACTCTCGTGGAACCACTGCCCGGTATTTCAAACGAGTGTGAACAAAGATAATGTCAACTTATCCCTTAGTTGCAAACTCATTAAGGGTTGGGATCCAAACACTATCAGTAATTTTGACGCGTTGTAGGCCAAATCAACGCCCATGCGGTTCCTCCAAAAAATGATTGTAGCTACCGTACTGCAGTGGAAGTGCTAAAGCGAATACGTGCGCCTTGAAGTGAGAATACAGACTATCAATTGTAATATATTTATCAATGTGTTCTAACTTAGTTTGCGCCGAATGGATTTCAGAGGAATTATCGGCAGCCGGCATATGTTTATTTTCAGCACTCCGCATTACAAATAAATTATGTCAATCAGTTGATTCATCCTTTTTTTGCACGTGGAATTCAGCAAACAAAATCGGTTGACGTTATCAGTAGTAAATGGCGAAGAAAATATTTTATCTAGCAAGACATTGACTTTCCTTCTTGCGAGGCGTGCATTGACGATCCGTCAATTTTCATTTGTTATCCACCCACTGCTCCGACGACTAGCGAGCGATTTGCATTCAGCTTCGTTCTCTCTCCGTCTCAGCGAACCCCCAACTCTTGTATCAGTCAAGCGCAACTCCCTCTTCCAATCTCTCCCGACAACAGCCTGTATCGTAGCCTGTGTCATTGTACTAATCGCTACCCAGCCGGTAAAAGAGAAGTAACCTAGATTTTTATTATATACAGGTCTTCGGGTATGAGGTCATTGATTTCTTCAATCGCCAAGCCTGCCACATTTGTAGCATCCGCTTGTTCATGCGCTCCTTCGCGGTTCCGTCTTTATGGCTTCAAGTTGTTCCACTCTGGTCTGCAGTTCGTACACTAGTGAACCGTCTATGTTCTCCTGCGACTGCAACGTGGCCAGTGGCGCCTCGGCCAATTCCCGTGTTAGATGCACAAGCTCCTCCACACCCAACCGATCAGATGCTCTCTCCAACCTCAACTGCGCACGAAGCGTAGGCTACATAACTTCATCGATTCGGTCTAACAACAACTGGTGGCGCAACACTCCGTCCAGTCTCGACGAAAGCCGATCCAACGACTACTAAAGGCTGACGAAGAACACGGCGGGGTCGTATCTGGGTCCTATCTTGGCTTCCCTGAACCGCCTCATGGCCTTCTGACAGTCAGTCGCGGCTGGTCAGTCCACCTTCAGAGGGCCCCCTTCTGACCGCATCCAGGATCACCTTTGCCCAAGATTCCGTGTACTTGTACTATGCTAGGGCACCGGACTCGTCTGATGTACTGAATGGTCCTGAAAGATGCGGCGTTCGTTGCCGGATATCAATAAAAGACCGAAGACATGACTGTAACATGGTTCTTAGGTTGTTTTCAAGCAAACCTAGTGTGATAGAGTTGGCTTTCCAGCCGTGAGAGTTTCCTCCAATCCCTCATTTCATTCCAACCCTCCTTCATTCTTCCGAATATTTCAAACCTACAGGCTAAATAAACCAATATAATGTATCAAATTCATCGCCTGTTTCTTTGTGGTCCGTGTCCCTACTTCTTGCTTATGTTGATTTTTTGTGATTTGTTTTCCCTCCTGGACTTTCATACATGCCACAGTTTGTAGCCACTTACTACTCACAAATGGTATTTGATGTTAAAATGCCCAGGAGGCTAAACTGTTTGAAGCCAATACTCTCCGGCTAAGTTGGAAAAAGGGTACGTTTAGAAGCATCAGCAATCAAGGCTTTTGTTTGCTCGTTGCTCGCCGAACTGTTTGAAGCCAATACTCTCCGGCTAAGTTGGAAAAAGGGTACGTTTAGAAGCATCAGCAATCAAGGCTTTTGTTTGCTCGTCTGCTCGCCGAGCTTGGCAGTTGGATTGAAAACGTTTCATCACCAATAGAGGTGACATCGTCAGTGAGGGTTTCACTGACCCGCGAGCGAAAACCGATAACCACTTACAAGGACCTGCTCCAAGTGTAATGGTTGATGCTACTGATGGGGCATGCGAGTAATATGTTTATCGTAACTCCGCTTCGTGTCTCTTAAAAAGTGAGATCTATTACGAAATTTGTGGAGTCGCCTTGTAGCACTTGCTTGCATTTGAGTAACAGTCAGATAATATCCAGGAAATTTCAGGAAGACGTGTTCGAGGAGGAGATGGATGTTCAGTTTTTGTAAACAAGATTCATAAGGGATTTTTGCCTCCCTGTCTACTAGTCTGTAACAGTGTGGTTGGTGTTTTCTAATAAACAACCCTGTGGCGAAGACCTTATTTTCACAAGTAGATAATGCAATTAAGTAATTTTGTTGAAATTTTCGAATTGGACCAGATGTGTGGAACGCCCCGTTGCTGACTGGAAGAGCTTGAGCTCTGGACAGTCCGCCGAGCTCGGCAAACGGACCAACGACCAATCAGCACACCCGAGCTACCTATATTCCACAACATTGCCAGGGCGAGGACAGGTATCAAATGAACGGCCCATGAATTCCCAGTGAGTGAATATTCAACTGACCTCATCCACGATGAAACAACTCAACCTGTTGATGTGTAGTCTGATAGTTTATGTGGCGGGAATTATAGACACCGTGACCCTCAGAGCTTGCACCAGAGCTTTTGAGAAATCCCACTAAAATTGTGAGTTATTCCAGCCAAATGAATTTCACGCAGTCTAGTCTGCCGAAAAGGAGTTATTTTCGTTTATTCCCAAACGCGCCATTTCCTCGTTCAAAAAATGAGTGACCTTCAAGCGTGCCGTATGTGTTAAGACATGGGATGTTGAAAGAGGCTATAAACTGTAAGTTGACTTGTTTTAATCAGCTGAACGTCTGGGTGAGCATGTGAACTGCACGTACGTCGGTTTGAATAAAGCGGTTGCGTTAAAATGAGGTGACATTATGCATGCGTGGGAAAATACAACCTTGTCAGTCGATTCTCAAATTGCTTACTGTATAAAAGTTACGTGATTTCTCAGAGAGTGAACGTTTCACTCACCTGACAGAAGATGAAACTATCCAACCTGTTATTGTGTAGCTTGACCGTCTTTTTGGCCGGAGCTACGGACGGCGTGACCTTCAGAGATTGCGGTAAGGCACTAAAGACTACCAAGCAAACATTTAATGATAAAAATTGAATAGTTCTTTGCAAGTATTGATCTCCAGCAAGACTTGACTGTCCATGAATCTCGTCGACTTGTTACGCGCAAATCATGGGATAGGACTCATGTCAGCTTAATGAGGACATTGGAATCAACGTCCTGCTTCACTTCACAAATGAAAAATCTGAGCTAAAACAGAAAAATGCCTCGCGGATCTCCAACGTTTGTATTTTTTGAGAATGAATATATTGGTGGAAAACAAAATACACACGGTGATTAATCATCTTATTTGGTGAGAACCACCAGCCACATAATACCATTAATTCGGCGTTCCCACCGGAAAAGGGCGCGGTAATCGAGATGGTTTATTCCGTCCACGGCGAAGTTCATTGTTAAAAGTCACACATCAGTGACTGTCCAGATCGAATGTACATTCTACTGGCAACTAAAAGCGGCTTGCACTCAGTTCCAGCTTTGAGAACTACTGTGTCCTATACTTGGACAGGAATTAAATCTGAAACTGAAATTAGTTTTTGTAGACCTTCTGTGTTTTTCTCCAGTTCCCGAACTCTGCTAGTTTTCGTCGGGTCAGCCAAACCGATCAGCTGACTGGTGTCAGCTGACCGATGTCAATTAAATGTCAGCTGACAGCTATATGCATAGGATCACGTGTGAGTGACACACGCGGGATGTATGAATGATTCACATAGAAAAGCTAAGAATCTACTCATCACGTTTTGTGTGGTTGCACTGATGCATGGCAGGCATCCTGTTGGTTTAAAACACCGTTTAAAATCTGAGCAGTCTAACTTGTCATCCGGCGTATGCTTGCTAATGCATCATTGGCATACCCACCTAGACTTGTGCGCACACTCCCGCCTCCTCCTCTATACTGTTATTCCAAATTATCCGTTAAACAGGTTCAACGGGCGCTCGTGTGACAGCGGTGGAGATTTTGCCGTGTGACAGTGAACCGTGTACTCTCAGAAGAGGAGTGAATTACATCGCCCGTGTAACATTTACGGCAAGTAAGCAGATACTAAATCAATGTTATTTTGCGTAATTTCTTTATCTGATTGAGCATATGCTGATAGTCAATCTTCTGCTCACTGGTGGGGTACTGTATTTTTCTCGAAAGCCAGATTTACTTTTTATTGTTTGGTGATTTGTTCGAACAAGTGCCCTAAAGCCCTTTCGAACGCGCAGTAATACATCAGCGATGGATGATGATGTCTGCAAACTTCAGTTGATACTGGTCTATGCCGGAAAACCAAAAAACAATGCACGCCTCTCTCATTTGTAGAAAAATTAATCATTTCATGAACTCCTAGTGAGATTCGAACAGAAACAAAGCTGCCAATTTTTGAGCTGTTTAGTCACGAACGGCTGAGTAGCAGTTTGATCAACTCGCACCAGATAGAACGGTGCCTAGTGCTTAATCATGGGATTGAGACCCCGTGTTTACTTGTTGACTGGCTCTTTGAGTGACGACATCTCAGAAAAAAGGTTTAATAGCCGTGCGACTGAGTCTTTCTCTGACCATCATCATCATCATCATCATCATCATCATCATCATCATCATCATCATCATCTTCATCATCATCATCATCGACAGCATGACATCAGTGTTCAACACCGATGCTTCACTGCCGTAAAACCATGATTTATTTGAAAGAAAAGAATAAAGGTGGATGGGGGAGGGACTTAGTGCTAGCTTACCACAATCATTCCGAGGTGCCTACATCTCCAGACATTCACTCAAGAAATCTGGATAGAAACTGACAACAAGAACGCCACTGACATCGGTTGGCAGCCATATCTTGTAGTGTCTCCAACCAGGCAAAGTGAGGATCACGTGGTCCCCATCCTGGAAGGCGAGTAGCACCGACAGCACCCAAGCGTTTCGT